TTCTTTCTTTCTTTCTTTCTTTCTTTCTTTCTTTCTTTCTTTCTTTCCCTCCTTCCCTCCCTTTTTTTCTTGCAGCATTTTTTGTGCTTAATTTATAATTACACCTAGAATAGTTAGGTTGAAGGAAGACACAAACAGGCTTGTGTGTATACACACACATATACAAATGGGCAACCAAAAAGCACCTTTCTTAATCCCTGGGTAACTTTATGCAAATCCCAGCAGACACTAGGGTTGACCAAAGAGGCTGAAATGAATTAACACCTAAAACCTTAGCATGTACTATAAAGGTAGGGGCCATAAACTCCATCATGGAAGGATACAGGGGACCAATCAAGTACAATTCAGTAAAAGTGTTTGCTTGGTTTGTAATAGTGAAAAAAAAAAAAACAACTTTCTGGATCTCCCTCCTTTAAGGGTATTTTATGTTGAGACCCAAAAGAGACAGCAATTATTAGATGCATTATCATCTTGTATACTACATTATAGCTCCTACTATCACTTTCATTTATTTTGGGGGAAGCCTCCCTGAGGGCCAAGCCTAGTTCAGCATGCTCAGACAAGATGACTGAACCGGCTTCAGAATGAGTCACATAGTGCAATTCATTAGGCTAGGGAACAGGAACAAGCAAGTTATCTCCCCAGATCATAGGTCCACTGATCCTATTCTAGATGCCAGTTAAGCCACAGAAAGTAAACTCAAGGTATAGGAAAAAGCAGGCAAGTCCACACAGAAGGAAGGATGGAAAAAAAAAAAACTTGTAGAAGAGGAGATGCTTGGATACTGTACCTTTGTCTAAGACAACAATCGCTTTGGAGGTTTGGTACTCTGAAACATTCAGTCCCTCCACTTAAGAATTAGAAAAGTGGAGAATAAATGGAGTAGGTGATCATTAATTAATTTGAGGGGAGGGAGTTTGATAGCATCTGAACTCATGAGTTCATTATCTCCCAGTGTGGAAACTTCCTCCCCAGATGTACACTTACAACTTGTCAGTAACTTATGGTTTTAGAGAGTTGCCTAAGAGTACACAGAGGTTGTGACCTACTTAAGGAAAAAAAAAACTAAACAAAACTGGCTCTATCCATCTCACTTAGGCTGCAAAGTTACAGAGCTACTCATAGGCCTGATCCCCCACTCTTATTGGCATGGGTGCTTTAACCTGTTCCATTTTCAGGGGGTTCACCCTTCCTTAGGCAACCTGGTTTTCTACTCTCCACTTCCTATCCTTCCTCTTCCCAAGTTTCGGGAGGCTCCTCATATTGATGCTAAACTTAGTGTAGACACCAGAATGGCAAGATCCATTGAAGCTCAGAATTTCAGAACTCAAGAAATCCACCAGCCTCAGCGTCCTCATATCTCGTCCTCCCACCAGCTGTAATTACAAGTGTAAGCCACCACACACATCTTCAGTGATTTAGCAGTGGATGGACAGCTAATATGTGTTGAAGGCAAGGTTTGAACCCAGGTCTACTTGACTCCAATATACCACTCAGTTTCTCAGGTGATTATTAGCACAGTTTGTAATCCTAGCTAGGATGAACCTAGACTTGTGATATGAAACTCAAATAGTAAGAGATTCCTACAGACTGCATATTGGCTTAGAAAATCACAGAATCTATGTTGTATTGTATTTTTAAATGTATTTTGTTCAACATCTTCCAGTTATATTTTAATCTGGTTCTGTCTAGCATTGGGGACTTTTGCTGGCCACAGGTTTGACACTTGTGACGCAGATAGCAAGATGTCATGGAATAATCTGCTAGCCTACCAGACATGCTCACTAGACTTTTCCGCACTAAGGGCCACTATAATGGTATCCTTCATTGTAAGACCATTAGAAGCTGTTGTAGCCCTATAACTGGGGGCTGAACATAGGGAGGGATGGTTGTTGCCTTCTTGTAGCCTTCTCTTCTACTAGGCCAGCCCTAATTTCTCAGGCCCTGAGCTTGAGGGACCAGGCAGGTTTTTACTCCAGTTCCATTGGAATCATTATAATCATTGTTAGAAGATAGGACTGGAGTGGTATTGGGGATAATAGAAAATAGGAACAGTATTGTAAGTAAATAGGCAGTATTGTACAGTGGAAAATACTCTCATTCAGAAGTCAAGGGGCCTGATTTCAAATTCTACTTCTGATAATACCAGTGTAAGTCAAATCACTTAATCTCCCTGGGCCTCAGTTTCCTCATCTGTAAAAAAAAAATCCTTTAGGGGGAGAATCAACCTTGGAGCTCTCCTCTCTTCCCTCTGCTTGATGCGCCTCTGCTTGACCATGATGACTTTATCCCTATGGATCAATGAAATGTTCTTTTCCCTCTCTGCGGGAAGCAAATCATTGTCATTTTAAAGCAGTGTCTTGCATTTAGTCTAGCTGTCCGTAATTACCATGTCCAGACTAGTAATCAGAAAATAGGAGGGGGCAGTACTCATTTGTATGTATATGTGTGTGTGTGTGTGTGTGTATGCAATGCGTATATATGCACACGTGTGTGTGTTTAGTGGAGATAGTTAAGAGAAAGGAGGCTGGCACTTGGCACACTTCCCAATTCCTTTGTAGAAAAAGGTGTTGATTCACTTCCAGCCCTAGGAGAAGCTGCCATTCCAGATGACTGGGTGCTTATGCCCTTGAAGGAGACTGGATAGAAGGCTCCTGGTAATGAGGTGTGTCAGCTTCCATTCATCCTGGCTTACATTGTGTCAAAGCCCAGTCAGCCAGTTAATTTTTTGTGTCACCACCAGAGGCAAGGTTGTGAAGCTCTTTCCTGGTGGCCCTCCACCCACTTTAAATAC